CGCGCATGGGTGAGCGCGCATGGGTGAGCGTGTACACAGCATGCATAGCAACATACATTGTGAAACAAGAGTCATAAGGCACCTAACAATTACATAGCAGTTCATAACACCAACAAGACCTCTTATTTTTCTTCTGATTCCAGTCTTTCTGTGTTACTGTTTTCTGTTTCCTCAGACACCTTCCTTTCTTTTGGAAGTGGAGTTTACTGGGCGGACGTCACATCATCAGCAAGCACACCAACGCGCAGGACCGGTCGATCTTGAACTTGAGTGGGAGAAGCAAGTACTCAAGTATTCAGTTTTGATATTCACACTACTGTACAGTCACTTTCTACCCTGAATTGAGGTGTACCTTGCTTGTTGGAACGGCCAAGGCAGTGCCAAACAATTTTTACACATGCATGTAGTTCTTTGTGGTGTGCTGCGCTTGCGTAGTTGTTCTTACTGCGATATGTTCTAACAATAATGAGATGCCTTTTGTCGGCTCTTCTGCCTGGATTTCGTTGACAGATGCGTTAAGCCCATGGATCCTTCCATGAGTGACATGCGAACTGTAACTATTATTACTATTATTATGTAGTTCTTGATGCAAGACAATTTGTTTACACTTCATCTTGCCCGGAATTGCTCCCACCGATGACTTTCACGGTCGGTTATTCTGGTGTATTGTAGATGATGTGACTTTTGACTGAAGCTACAGGTGGTACTTGCACCAAGTGAAGCTTTGCCTCAGTGCCCTGCAAAGCAGAGTCAAATAGAATAACTACTGACTATTGTATTTCTCAACGTAGCCGCTTACGACCTTGTCACAGTTTCTGTTCTTCTCATAATTATGTACATTGCTTGCTGACTGCCGCATCTGTTGTGATCTCAAACATGTGTGCTGACTCCTGGCTCATTTTGAAACATGGTTGACGTCAGTATTGTTTTAATGTATGCTGATAATACTACAAATCATTGTTTTCAACTTTTTACATTACTACTGTTATGAACATAGAAATCCAGTGGAAGACCGGGCCGCGGGGCCGGCACCCTGGTCTTATTTGCTTATACGTGTACATGCACTGTGTGACACTTTAAACACATGGACCAGCACCGGTCACGGCTGCACGGCCAGCGCCCCGTGGCCGCTTGACTTCGCAGCGGATTTCAATGCCCGCTATGGTAGCATACTGACACTGTATGTCTTGAAATTGCTACGCCACAGCCAGCCCTCCTGAGTTACGACTATGCTGCCCTGGACGCCTCCAGGACTCGGCGTGTGATTTGATATTTTATGTGTATCATCTGTAGACGATAGCCTCGGATTGCGAAGAAAATGTACGGGTCGGTACACACGGTCAGGCTTGATCTGGCTGATCCAAGCCCTCTGAACCTCGTTTGGTGTGTGCAAGAGTTCATCAACCATGGCTTAGGTGTTTCCTCTTGTGTTCATTGCACTGCAAGTTGAAGACCTTGGCGCGGGCCTTGCGGAAAATGCTTTCAAAACACCCGGCAGAATCTGGTACTGGACATGATGTTAGTGCACAGTTCTGGCCAGAGCAATCCGACCTCATGACTTTAAGGCTAAAGCAACGCCGTGCTCAAGTAACAAGTTAGCAGAGTGTTATGTGTGGTGTTCGTTGCCCACGGCGCAATTATTCGTGCGCTGGTCGGATTTCTCAGGCCAGAGACTGTACTTTTCTGGTACATAATTATTTCCAGCGGCATTATCCGCCCAAGCCTTATACGCGGAGTATGTGAATACAACACCTGCAAGTGCACTGCCCGCCGCGCCGACAGGTTACACACACTGTGAGTGTGACGGTAGATCTCACAACAAAAAATTAATATGAGACCTGCTAGTATATTAGTACGTGATTGTAGTACTACACTGAGAATTCTGTGCAAAAATCGCACAATTTTTAATGTAAACGAAATACGACTCGTGCACGTACAGTCATGTACATGTACCTCTGTGATCACGTGATGTACGTCTCGATCGAGTGGCGAAAAATACTGACAAAATAGGTCTTTTGCCAAATAAGACACGCAGTGACTTGGCGGGGCATGGCATGCGTACTGAATGCGTGACCCAGGCACGCCATACATGCAGTGCATTCCTCCCAGCGCGAGCTCTTGTTTTGGAACCGCAACGATCAATCACCGCGTTTGGCGTGTACTCGCCCACTTGGCCAGAAAAATGTGGCTCTCCTGGATCGAAAAAAATGACAGCGAAGGGTTTCTGTTTTATTCTCGCTTTTCAACGCTGTCCGCTGTTTGTTTAGAAAGTATCTCGTTGTGATTTACTTCTCGCTGGGCCTTTGCAGTGAGTTTGATACATCATGTAACATGGCTGACGAAGCGGGCCATGAGCCGAGCCCTTCTTCTCTTGCCGCGATACGTTGCGATGAAGGGAACGTTGCAACTAGTCCTGTGGCTGAAAATGAAATTGAAGATCCCAATGTTCGGTTTGTGATGCCTCCGGACAACGAGTCGTTTGAAAAATGGACGGTCAACCAATTGAAGACGTACCTGCGAGCTAGAGGAGCCCGAGTGTCCGGGAAACGAGATGAGTTGCTCGAACGGTAAGTACCACTTCGGGATGCAGTCTTCAAATAACTTTTCACAAAAGGAAAAGAAAATTTTATCGGTACATGTTTTTGCTTTCCAACTTCCTCCATCTGTTCAGGGCCAGGTTCTACCACAACGATCCAAAACTGTGCACTCCAGATACATCTGGCGGCAGGCGTCGGCAAGGAAAACGGAAGAGTGCTGCCATTCAGAGCATTGTTGACGCTGAGCTCGTGGAAGCACATAGTGATGCAATAAGCACCTCGTCCACTGTAGCAGCTATATCTCGTCCTAGTTTTCCTGACACAGGGTGGGACACATCAAGCTCTGCTTTGCCAAATGACCTATCGCTTGGTGTGATTTTCGATCACCTCCGAGCCTGCGGCAAGCATGCTACCGTGAAAAAGCCCTTCACCCGCGGATTCAACTTCTTCTTCTGGAGTTACATACATTCTGTGAGCTGTTGCAAGATTGCAATGTCTACTGAGACCCCGACCAGATACTTCATCAAAGCCAAGTGCTGGGCGTCCCAGTCCAAGAAAGAAAGTTATGCACTTGAGTGTTTAGTTGAAGCAGCTGCTACAACTTACCTGATGTCTATCGCTTATGCACACTGCTCTTGCACTGCTGGAGTTGCTGGCTCGTGCCATCATCTCGTCGCACTGCTCCTAAGCATCGAGCACTGTGCGAAGAAGCAGCAGGATGTACCAGCAGAGCAGACTTGCACAACTGAGAAGCAGGCTTGGGGTCCTCGGCCTCGTCAAGTTGTCGCACAGCCAGTTTCTTCACTTGTAATTGAAAAAGCGGATCCGTCGAAGAATATGGATGACATTCAGAGTGTCCGGCGAGCATCCTCACTCTATGAGGCGAGAGGTCCTTCAACCAAAGAGATTAAGTGTGAGGAACTTGATCGCCTGCTGGATGAGATCACCGCAACCGGCCGCAGGTACCCCATTGCAACTTTGCTGTCGCGTGGAGAGGAGGTGCACCAGTGTCAGTCCAAGGTGGGCGCTGTCCCATTCGGCTCAGTGCTGTGTTACCACCAGCTCGAGGGGGATAAAGTTGATGTGCCTCCAGCTAGAAAGCGACCATTTGTGGCGATAGCGGACCAACCGCAGCTGGCAGCGTGCAGCTCGCAAACAGCAAGTGATGATCGAAACACCACCTCAGAATCACCTGCCAGCCAACAACCTGCTGGCGCTGAGTGTTCTACCAGCCAGCACTTCTGTGATTTACCACTGCCGAAGTCTGCTAGGGAAGGTGATGAGTTTGCACGACCGCTACTCCATAGCAAAACCATAGCCATCGAGCGGCTCACTCGTAGTCAGGGTAGCAGTGAATTGTGGAAAAGACTGAGGAGAATCACCCTGACTTCTTCACGCTTCCACCTCGTAACTCACCGGAAGGAGGTGACAGATGCATTCGTGACGAGCCTCTTTCAGGACAAGGATTTGTCTCGAGTTGGAGCGGTTTCTCATGGAAGAGCCTGTGAGGATTTGGCCAGAAGGGATTATTTGGCAAGCAAGCAAACAATGTGCAACGCGGACTATGAGGTGCGGCAATGTGGTCTGGTCATCCACCCTGTTTACCAGTACATTGGTGCTAGTCCTGACGGCCAAGTCTATGATGGGTCCTGTCCAGCCGATCCAAATGGTTTGCTGGAGATAAAGTGTCCGCACACCGCTTATGGCGATGACTTAACCCCTGCTGAGGCCTGTTCATTGCCAGACTTCTGCTGTGAGCTTGTCAATGGTCAACCCCGACTCCGTGCTAGTCACGCGTACTACTACCAAGTTCAAGGGCAACTTGGTGTGTCTGGCTTATCTTGGTGTGACTTTGTCATCTGGACTGGGCCTCGTCGACTTTCCGTGGAACGCATCTTGTTCGACGATGAATTTTGGAAGAAGGATCTACTTCCACGCCTGCTACAGTTCTGCTCATCCCATCTGAAAAAGGCCACGGAAATCTCTGCCGGCCAGGTTTTCCAGGATGATTGAGAACATTGCCTGGCAGCTGTTTGTGCACTTGAATCATTATTATTACATTTCATTCTTTTCTTCCCAGTTATACATGGTAATCTTGTAATGGGTTGAAATCGTAAAATACAGATCAAATGCAATAGCATGTAATTAGGCCTCAAACTGAAAGGGACCTGCAAGATAAAATTCGAATCATTTCAACTTCATGCGTATGGTTGTACAATACATGTATGATATATTCGCCGTTGTAGGTCCGTTGTGACCGTAATAACAATACCGGCAAGACTAACTTTATTCATTGAACTTATGTAAATATTGCAATCAAAATTATATCGTATCAAATTTTGTACAGAGGAAGTCATTATCTGCTCAGTAATATGATTGTGCATGACTGTTCAGGCATGACGAAATTCGTGTTGCTGAAGATTAATTCGCCATGCAATGCTAGCAACAGTTGGCATGGATAACTTAATTTGCATCAGCAAGTAAAGGAGCCTGGAACAATGTGAGAAGGCAACAGACTGTCCATATCTGATTGATGATGGGGAAAAGAGTTGTTGGAACAATCTTGGAAAAGATGTTGAACTCCTTGATCCGCTCCATCAGACGCTCAACATGAATTCGTAACTTGGCGATTTGTTGTGTTTTCTGAACGTCTTCTAGGGCCATCTGGTGTCCTGATCGCTTGAACGGGGGAATGTTCAACTTGACGCCATACGGCACTAAAAGATCCTGGATGTCGAATCCTTTATCTGCCATAATCGATGTCCCATAGCCGGCTGCTGGGAGAAGATCTAGGAAGTGGCTTCTGATCGTTAGCTCGCGGTCACTGATAGATCCAGTGAACAACTCGGAGATGAACGCCACAGCACCATCTGGGGTCATACCGATGAGGCCCTTCAAGGTGGTATGTGTCTTGTACGAGCTGTACAGTTGGGACTGTGCAGGCAGACTGGACGTAACTTCGCATTTTAGCTCTGTGGCATCAATGATCAAGAATGTTGTCGGATACAGGTCCTTGAACACATCGGGCAATCGTTCTGACACTTGGGAAGGACGCGGCCAGATTGGAATCATTCCCAGTCGCAGGTACATGTAGTTGACCATTGTTGCGATGATACGACTCACAGTCCCAGTATCTATCAAGTACAGATCAGCCAGCATTCGGATGTCTGTGCCGCGGCGAAGACGAACCATGGTAAGGAAAAACTTCTCTCTCCAAGCCAACTTGCTCTTCCGTCCAGCACCGGGTTTCCTTTTCCGTGAGTGGGCATCCAAGGGTTTGCTGCGAAAGGAAATGACGCTCTTATCATCCAGGTGAAGAAATTGTTCACATGCATCAAATGCAGCAAGTGAAGGAAACCCAGTGTAGTACTGCATATCGGAGTCAGAGTCTTCAAACCGAGCTAGAGAAAATAGCTTCAGGCTGAAGTCGACTTGGATATCGTCGATAGCAGCCAGTGCTTCTTCAAGTTCGTCTTTTTGCTTGGCATTTTCCTTCGTCGTGGCTTTCAGCTTTGCAGCGTCTGACTTGGGCTCCTTTGCTACTTTAGGAGGAGGAGAAGCACCACGCTCGCGAGACTTTCTCTTCGTGGGCTTCTTCCATGCAAATAGGCTTGGAACAGCAGTAGATTTCAGCCTTGCGCCCGACTTCTTTGTCCCTTGGACATAGTCTTCGTCCGTGAAGTGGTTAGAACACACCACTGTACTGTACGACATGATGGTAAACACACCGTCCCTCTCATCTCGACGGATGGCGGCAATCCAAGACTTCCTTGTGTCCAACTCGTCCCTGCTCACGCTTCTAGCTTCTCCAGTTTTTGTTTCTTTGCTACCAGGGAAGACGTGGAACAAAGTATTTTTGTCCGAACGTCGGTCGCTGTTGCACTGCGGAACGCAGCAGTGATCGCCTTTCCCCATGACTAGAGAAGCTGGGAAGATGTCCTACATAACAAAACTGAACACTTTACAAGAACCAGGCGGAGAATCTCCAGCGGCTGTTCTTTTATCTTCTAAAATGTCGAGCGCGATCGCTTGAAGAAGTTAGTTTCTGAAAGTAAAGGCACGAACAAAAATAGAAGGAAAAGTCACATTTACACGTGGGCGAGTACACGCCAAACGCGGTGATTGATCGTTGCGGTTCCAAAACAAGAGCTCGCGCTGGGAGGAATGGACTGCATGTATGGTGTGCCCGGGTCACGCATTCAGTACGCATGCCATGCCCCGCCAAGTCACTGCGTGTCTTATTTGGCAAAAGACCTTGAATGCTTGAATGCACTCCATGATCCAGTCCTTTCAATCTTTGGTTTGTTAAAATAATTATACTGTGAATGACATGATGTACTACGCGTACGAGTACGGTCTTGCTATTCCTGCGAGAGAGACTGCACTGGTAGATCTGTAGATCTCTACGTAGGCCACAGGGTCGTGCATAGTCGCTGTTTCCTTGCAATAAAGTCATGGTACTCTCATCCTAGCTCTGGGCGTCGTCAAGGTCCTATTGGCTATTGACGTATGTAGTGGAATCATGTAGATGCTTCATTCCCAAGTCCTCATCACTCACCAAGACTGGACCAATTTGACTGAATAGTTTCTGTGCTGAACATCTCTCTCCAGCTATATCGCACAGGTGAGAAAGAAAAACTGGCACTTCACTTGAAGTTGCCACTGCACACCATTTTTTCATTGAAATCTGGCCGTGACTGGACTGTTTGGCTAAGAAGCTCAGCTGTGCTTCCGCATACATGTACTAACATTTAAAATTTACTGTCCAGGTGTGAACGACTGAGTGTGTTTCAGCGATTATCTAAAGGGGATGGTGAAAATTTTAAATTTCAGGGTCCGCGTATAGTTTGGGGCGCGGAGTCGAATGGTCTTTGTCCGAGGAGGCTGCGGTCCATGGTTCGTCAGATATGCCCAATCGAGCATGTGCGAATTTGACCGCACAGTCATCCGGATCCAGGTGATGACGTCACAGTGTGCAGCCAGGTAGCCACACCATCTATTTGTGTACACAATGGCCATTGTTCGGAACGCGTTCGATTGGGGAACTGTTTGTCCCAGCGTCTTCAGACCAAGACCATTGGACTCAGTGTTACAAACACTACGTACCCTGTGTATGTGGCTTTCAGCTTGGCAAATCTTGAGGTTATCCCATCTTTTAGCCGTTTCCGAGTTGGACTTTTCCGGCCGCGCTGGCCTTTGCATGCATGCTAGCTGTACTGTAGACGTGTTGTCAGCAAAGTCATCACACACGGAACACGACTACTCCCACACCGCCGTGCTACGTTAGTCATGTGGTAGATCAACAAGAGTCGAGTAAAGAGACCAGTCAAGAAACGGACTTGTCATGTACTGCACTGGTATCAGTCGTATGTACAGTCAGGGAAGGTGCGATTCTCCTTGCCGGTGGTTGTGCTTTGAGAAAGATTTTTTTTAGTTTTCCGCATGGAATAGCCCAGATTGATTTATTCTACAACGTTGAGTCCACAACCGTGACAAGTGACGAAACAATTAAAGGGGAACTCCACGAAAAAATGAAACTTTGATAGCCTGTAGAGTTTCGGGCGCTGAGTCGAATGGTCTTGGTCCGAAGCCTCTACGACGAAGCGTTCTTGAGATATTTCACTTTGAAATTGCAAAAACGGGGGCCGCGCCCTGACGTCATGCGGCCATTTGGTTACATCATCACGGGCTGCCTACGTCATTGTGGCAAAGTCGTTTCTCTTCGCCAATCTACAAGCACTAATTTTAGTTGGTATTTCAAGGGAAGATGGGCGATTCCGAACAATCCTCTGTCCCCAGCAATGAAGGCAGCGATGCTGAGGCCAGTGAGGACGACCAACAGCCCACCGCCGCGTATGGTTGGGGCAGGGAGCCCAGATACTCTGCTGAGGAGCTGCCATCGCGTGTAACAAATGTTGAGGAAGAAGATGCTTCAGCAGCTGCGTCCGACAGAAGACGAGTAGCTTGGCCACCAGAATCTCGATTCGTTTGGGACTCCGACTGGTGCGAGCGTGGACAAAAGTGTATAGCCATGCCCAGCCTGCGGGAATGATTTTGCTGGTAGGATGCTGCCGTCGTTGTCGACAAGACGGCCCAAGGTTTCTTGCGTAGCGGACCTCGCAGATTACGAGATCGTATCCTTGCATTAGGCTGTGCCCATCACTGCTCTTCGAGGTTATCTCGACATGCAGAAGCCGCCAATGCCAGTGACAGAAGAGTCTGACATTAGGTAAGCCTCAATTAGTTTGCCTTGACTTGTCTTGTGAGGAGCGCGTATCAGCATGATACACTTATTCTTATTTTTTTGGGGAAATTTATTGTTGTCAGGCGCGCACTACAGCAGGCGTCGCACAAGAAAGACATTGTACTGGTAGTTATCACAAGTTTCATGCATGACACAAACAAATTTCTCTTTGCTCCGAGTATGTCTTGACTTATCTTGTGAGGATCGATGCGCGTAATGTTTTGTGTGTAACTTATTGTTGTCAGCAAGAGTACATAAACCAGAGTGTGCAACTCGGGATGGTTCCTGCGGGAGCGTAATTCGTGCAGTACGTCATTTCTGACGGCATGGTAGCCACAGGTACGGTGAAAAGTTGAGTAACCAGTCGCGGTGGTGCAGGTCACTGAGTTTGTCCTGATTTCGGTTTTTCGATACGGATAGCCTGGTGACTTTACTTGTCGGTGGATGTACGCAGCGTACACAGTCACACAAAAACACCGAAATCCTGAAACTGGATGTCTAAAATCAAGCAAACTTGGCTGATTTCCGGGCTATGAAACATTAAAATTTGAGCTGTACGCAAGTCGCGGCTTGGCTGACCTCATCAGGGTGACGTAGTGCACGAACTGCGCTGTTTCAGATCTGATATGCGCAGTTGCACACTCTGGTTTATCTACTCTTGTTGTCAGGCATAGCACGAACAACGTTGTTCTGTACTATAGTGCTATCACAAGTTTTCATGCATGACTCACATTTGTCTTTGTCATTTTCCCTTGGATTGGTACGAGATCTACAAAGTATGGTAGGTAGTGTTCTGTTGGTGAAGAGAGCACTGCACACAGTTTATGAGCACCATGGGTGCATTTGATCACACCCGAACCCATACTTTATCGTTTCAAGCGATAGACTTTGTCAATAAACTCGTTTTCTAGTATACCATGGCATGCAACGTACAAGCGTGGGGTCAAGAAAGTGTACACCAAAATAATGCACAAATTCTGGCAGGAGAGTAAGAAATCTGTACTTTCTGACCAAGACATCTCTGTACTAGTAGGTAATCGAACGCGTCCTAATCAGTATTCATCCCCCAGATCATTGGAATTCAATTTGAAATCAGCAATTATGGTAAATTCTACAAGACCCTCCATCTTTGTACCAGTGGGCACTAAATTAGTATGGCGCGCGCACTGAAAGTGCAGGTAGGTACCGGTAGGTGCAATACAGCGCATATGTAGAGTAAATGAGTATTTGACTATAATAATTATTACAGTACAGCAATGTGGTATGTGTACAAGCACGAAGCACTCATCATACACATTCCATATGACATTCTGTGTTTGTGTAGATCTCTACGCTATGCGGCACACAGGCAGTACACACTATGTACACGGCAAATTGGGCAAGCACGTTCGTTGTCGTCTTCCAGCCTGCGTTGTGAATACCATCAGGCAAAGATATCCAAATTCTGCACCACCTCAGCCTTCTCAGGAGGCTTCCACCTGGAATTTGGCAGGGAAACTCGCTTCTCCAAGGCAGGAACATCGAGGTTGCCATTTGCAACCGCTACCACCTCACACATGAGCTTGTCAACATACTCATAGCTCTTTCTGTCGTATAATTTCTATTTGGCCAGTCTTCTTTAGGGGCCGTCCAAGGTTACCAATAATATTTTCAAAACAAAATGTTTTCGTTTGTGGGTGGGTGGGTTTGACGGAGTTTCGTTTTGAAAATAATTATTGGTCTTTTTGGTTGTGCTGTGGCGACGGTTGACATTGACGTCGTCAAGAGCTGCGAGATGTGCGTGTCCAATCATCCCCAGAATTGAGAAACGAATGTGTTTGAGAATGTAGTTTGGCAGGACACTGTGATATACCTGCATGGCAAAAAGAATGTGGAGAAAACACACTTGCTTAGACAATATACTGCTGTATGAGAAAATGGAAACTTCACCATACAGGACGACTCTTGTTCTCAATTGCATTGTTCGTTTCATTCCCTGTGTTGCCCATAAGAGACGGGAGCAAAAATGTTCAGCAGATGTTTGTTGTCTTCTGGCGTGGAGTGGCGGCATTATGAGATGTACACATAGTCATTTCACTAAGTACACCACTACTACAGCATATGTACTATCCTTAGGCTAGCGTGCGTGGGAGTGAGTTTGAGTATGTGGGTGCGTATGTGTGTGTGTTGTTGTGTTTGTGTGTGTGCACGCACACGCGCGCGCATGTGGGTGAAGGTGTGAGTGAATGTGTATAATATGTGTAGTTCCCACTGTATTCCTTGCACAATAGGTCTTCACTTACTTTTCTATCGCATACAACCAGAACCCATTCCTTGTTCGAAATTGGATTTTTTTTGGCCTGGTGATCCCGCAAGCGTGGAACTCGGAGTGTAATAATTTTTTGTTTCACTTTGCTTGCACTATTCCTAGGCTGTCCAGACTTCTAACAACTGCTCTGAGTGATATGGTATTCATGCAACCATGCCTAGAAGTAGGGTAGCTGTTATAAATAGAGACATATCCACGCAATCAACTTACACTGGTTCAGTTTGGCAGGATTGGTGAGACAGTTCGTCGTGCATGCTGCCTGCACGCAAACAGTTCTGTAACCTTCGTACTTGCTGGGGGTCTGTCTGTTTGCGTCCCAGTTGATGACAGATGTGCACAGTTTGAGTACTGGTATGCGCAAAG